TTTACCAACAAATAGTGGGATTGACCGTCACATTATAATGCCCCCACGGCTGAAAGGGTGAGCATGTTTGGTGATGGGGATTCGAACACGCGACCTGCAGATTGCGAGTCGAGCGTCCTAACCACCTGGCCATGTCGGGGCCGTCATGGGATGGGATGGAGTAACAACTGTAAAAGGTTGTAGAGTTCCAGAATCCTTTTATACCCAGAAAAAAAAGCACTGCATGTATATATATATGGATACCAGTTGAAGTACTGCTGAAGAGACTGTAGAATATATCGACCTTTTCCCAACCAAGTATGCTTTATATATGAATGCCGGTTGCAGGGTCGAATTTTGATAATTTGCTGCCTTAAGCATCATTATCATCGGTAAACATTGTATGTTTGTTTGCAGCTTAGCACAAAGCTATACAAATGGCTATCTATGCTTTGCTCACCTCGAGTATCGAAACCCGGTTTCTAGCGTTGTAAGTCCGCAGACATGCCGCTGTGCTACTGGAGGGCATCATCGGCAAGCATACGTATATATATATACATAACATTGCACAAACAAAACGTTGCAATTTATTTTAGTAAGCCTATCTCTGAACTGTTTAGATTTAGAAGAACTTGATATTCCTCGTAGTTTTTAGCTGCAAAGCTTTAAAGAATTTCTTTAGGGTCTCGTTTCTTAAATTTAGTAGATAGTTGTTTTATAGTGTAGAGGTAGGGGCATTTCGATCTTCACAGCTTATAGAATAATGCCATAAAAGCAATTTGCTGATACAGTTTGAAAACAGCATCTCTTCTTGCAAACTTTGTATGTTTTTTTTTTACTGTTTGGAGTTCCCATTTTTGTATAATATCGTTAACAAGAAGAGCAGATGCGTCGCTAGGTGCTTAAAATATTCGGCGCTTGGGCTTATATGCGCGTAAATTTTCGGCGTTTCAGTATGATATCAATCATGGTTTTCTATTCTGATTCTTCAAGACACCAAAAAATTTGGAAGGGTATTCAACTGATCCAAGTGGCTCCACCTGTGGGGTATTTGGGTCCACAGTCGCTAACCGTCCAAAACTTTACAGAAAGTCATTAAAAAGAAAAACAAACCCGCTTATAGCAAAAACTGTAAAGTTGTCAGACTTGTTTCTGCTCTACTTACTTTTCCCTTATTATTGGCTAATGACTACTTCTGGGACTAGTAAGTTTATCATGATGTTCTAAAGCAGGTTTTGGAGCATATATTAGGGCCTATATAGGTCAGCTAAATCGAAACATTCCTTGCCTTTCTATAGTTACCCTGTGATACCCTAAGTCAGATCAGAGCTCTTAGAGACCTCAAACTTGGAACTGGCTCTACTACTGAAACAGTGGTGGTTTAATTTTTCCTTGGCTTTTTTGTTTTAAATATTTATTTGCCTAACAACAAACTGGCATTTACAAAGTTTAGAGAAAAATATATATCAAAAATCAAAATAGGCTAAATCTCAACTACAAATCAAGTAGCAAAGTTATGCTTTCAAATGTGGTGAGACTAGCCTTTAATTTGAATTACAATGGTACCTATGAAGATAAACACGTGCATTCTGACTCTGTAAACGGATTCACACGTTTTTTCATGACCCTAGAACACCTTGTTAAAAGAAGCTCATTTAAGTCTTGTGGATTAGCACATAATTTTAAAATGATGAACATAGAATTTTACAATTTAATTTTTGAAATCGCGCGAATTTCTGAGTGATTAAGATATGCTTAGCGATATTAGAATGATTTTTAAAAGAACAAAGATTAGCCCATCTCATTCCATGACAGATTGGCAGTAAAAATGACTGAAACCAAGCGTAATGTCGCATTGTAAAGTTTTTAAACTTTTATGTGGAAATTTAAAATCGCTTGAAGATTCTGCTAAATATGCTGTTCTAGTTGGAGATGTTCAAGAAAGGGGACATACTGAGCACAGCTAATATATTTCAATGAAATCATTCGTGCTAGGGGAGTCGTAGGGACTATTTTAAGGAATTTTCAGAGCTGCACAAACTAGCCCTATTCCTACTGGGGAGATCACTGTGCAGGAAGCTACATTGCGGCCAAAGAAAACATTGTTTCCAAGTCCACTTTTAATAAGCGAAATTGGGTTTGTTTTATATTAAAAGTCACTTTAATTTTTTGAGATTTGCTGGCTGCGGTTTTTGGGTTCGTCTTGTTCTGAGGTCGTTTATTTGGACCTATTGTTTTTGTAGTAGCTGTTTTCAACATACAATAAAGGGTTTGTAGGAGTGGTTTCGGTGATTGACTGGTTTAATGAAAAGCCTACACATCGGTACAAGTTTAGAATTATCATATTCTCTTTAATCTTCTCACAAGACTAGGCAACAATGCAAGAAACGCAAAATTTAAGAATACTAAGTTTTAATCTCACAAGACTAGGCAACAATGCAAAAAACACAAAATTTAAGAATACTAAGTTTGCAGATAGTATACAAAGATGCAGCTTGCCACCAGCCATTCAGCATAGTATAGTTTTCAGTTATCGTCTTAAACTTTTTATCTAGTGATGCTATAATTTACATCATATTGTAACGTCCATTATTAACTTAAAATGTGACGTACATTTCTAGATAAAAAAATATGATTTTACAGCTCTCTGGTATTTACATGCAAAAAAATTTACATGCAAAAAAATTAAAATTCCAACTGCACATTGAACTTTTCTCTAACTACACAAAATTATCTGAGCTGAACGTAAAATAGCCTCTAAAGGAAGGGGTGCTTTATTCATTAACCATTGGGGTTATCAGTGGGTGAACTGGATGACTTTCTTCCTAAACTGATCCTCGTCGTCATAACGTTTTGGTTGCCTAAAACAAAAGTTGTAAAAGTACAGTTTAACGTTAAAACAAAGATCATCATGTAGACCTAACACTGTTCCTAACTGTGACACAGTGAGAGCAGCATCCAATTTTTTGCTCTAGTACTAATCAAATATCAGTTATCAAAACGTGAAACCTAACCTTAGAATAGAAGATCCGACGAAGACGTTGACCAAGACGTACTTTCATCAGTTTCAGCTGGTTTCGGAACGTTTTTCAAGGGACTAGTTGGTCCATTAGAATGTAAAGAGGGTGGCCGTCGGTGAATGGGGCGGCTAAGTCCCAGTTGAAATTTATTGCCGGTACTGAGCATGCTCGGTGTGTAGCTGCTGAAGGTGTCTAAAGTACGTAAGAGAGAATAAAACATATAAAATGATAGCTAAATAGATACACTGGATACTATAACATCCGACATATAGTAGTGTATGTTGTAAAATTTATATACAACGTTAGATTTCAGATATCAGTTCATAACAGATTCTGCAAAAATATTCAATATCACTTCAGCAGTATAAACGGTCTGGTCATATATAAATTTTATAACACTCAACAATACGTTGGTGATCAAATTAGATCATGGTGAATTCTATAACACTTAATATTTTAGTGGTAAACAAATCAGGTAATGGTAGTTTCTGCAACATTCAACACTATTTTGGTGATAATACTTCAGATCATAGTGAATTTCATAACACTTGATAAAACATAAGATGTAGTCATAACAGATTCTGTAATCCTCGATTCTACTTAGACAGTAAAAGGTCTAGGTCATGGTAGACTATGTAACATCCAATGTTACTTCAGTGGTGAGATGTACAGCTCGTAGTAGATACTGTAACACTCGATATGAATTTGATGGTAAAAAGTCTAGACCATGGTAGATTATGTCTTCTTCTTCTTGTCGTGTCCACCTATTCCTATACGGTTTCCATCCAGTGTTGTACATGTTTGATTGCATGTTCTTTGGCTACAGCGAGATCTTTTGCATGGGATCAGGAGTTGTGGGTAGACGAGTAGATGTTTCATTGTATGTCTCTCAACACAGTCGCAGACAATGGGTCCGCAAGTGTGCCCCTATTTCACCATGTTGACCATAGACCTGCCGACCTGGAAACATGGGCGATCGAGGGGTTTTTCCAAGTGCTCCAGCCTCTGAGGAAATGCTCAGCTGGTTTTATGTTAATGCTGGTGTATGGAAGCTCTTGGAAGCAGTCTCCGTGGTTCTTCATGCGTCTTGATATCACTGGACACTACGAGAGAGATCACGCATGAAGAACCACGGAGACTGCTTCCAATAGCTTCCACAAGACAGTAAACACCCTCTACATGGTCGTGTGGAAATAAAGAAGCGCCTGATACCACTGGACACTACGATAGAGATCCGCTTCTTTACTTCCACATGACCATGTAGAGGGTGTTTACTGTCCTGCGTCTTGTGGAAGCTCTTGGAAGCAGTCTCCGTGGTTCTCATGCGTGGTCTCTCTCGTAGTGTCCAGTGATATCAGGCGCTTCTTTGCTTTCACATGACCATGTAGAGGGTGGTTACTGTCTTGTGTCTGCAAAGTTCGCTCCACTCTGCTGGCCACTGCTCTCTTGATGTCTGGTGAAGCGATTCCAGCCACCACGTACAGACTGTTTATGTTGGTTGGCTTTAAGTAGTCAATGATTCAGCAGCTGTCACTGAGTGTAGAGGCGAGATTTTTGACTTGAGATGAGCGTTTCAAAACCAGGCAGGTGTACTCTGAGTGCAAGTGCTAATAACCTGATGGTTGTTGGGTCACGCCCCCCCCCCCTCCAGTTCAAGCTGGTGAGTTTTCTAATTATGTTGTTCTGGCGATTAACTTTGGTTTTGGTCTTTCTGGGGGGCATTCCTCAATGATATCACTAACAAAAGCAAGGTCCGTGTTGTAGCTAAGCGCAAAGCTACACAATGGATTGTCTGTGCTCTGCCTATTAGGTGGGATCGAAACCCGATTTCTAGCGTTGTAAGTCCGCAGACATACCGCTGTGCCAGTGGGAGTCATTATTTAACAGAGACAAAGGCCCGGCGAATATCTGTATAAGAATGTGGCGAAAGCTCTCTAAGAATTGTGTAGGAATAGTAAAGCTACGTACAGATGATATGGCCTAGTTGAAAAGGTATAAATATTACACTATCATATCTTAAAATTTCACTCCTAATGATGAGGGTGAAATGTATAGAGTCAACTTTTTGGAGGTCATAAATTGGCCTGAATTAAAAATGGTTTTAAATGTGTATCTATTTTAACGTTCTGGGATATTTATTATCTTAAAGGTAACACTGCGTTTGTTTTCGGTTGATTTTGAATTTAGCACAAAGCTACACAAGGGCTATTTGCGTTAGCCGTCCCCAATTTAGCAGTGTAAGACTAGAGGGAAGACAACTCTTTTACCTGGAGTTTGAACATATCTATATCTATGGCATGTTCACCACGTTTCTTCCCAGAGTTTGATTTTTCCTGTGACATGTTTACCACGTTACTGCATAGTAATTTTCACCTATGGTATGAACTCTTTCAAATTTATGTACATATGTAATATATCATAAACATCCAAGCTACAACCTTAAGTTTTAATATGTTGAAATAATAAAACATATTCTGGTAGTTGCGTTATTATAAAATATTACACAGAAGAATTTAAATGAAAGATTTGTTTGTTTGTTTAATTTCGCACAGAACTACACGAGGGCTATCTGCGCTAGCAGACCCTAAGTTAGCAGTGTAAGACTAGAGGAAAGGCAGCTAGTCATCGCCACCCACCGGCAAATGTTGGGCTATTCTTTTACAAACGAATAGCGGGATTGACCGTCACATTATAACACTCCCACGGCTGAGGGCGAGCATGTTTGGTGGGACGGGGATTCGAACCCACGACCCTCAGGTTGCGAGTCGAGCGCCCTAACCACCAGACCATGCGTTAGGAGACAAAATATTAAATCACAGTACAACTATAACATTTGAAACTAATAGAAGTAGCACTAATTCAGTACTGAAAGCATTTTAGTCCTGCGATGAAGTTAGTATTTTAATAAATGTAGCAATTTCTCAACTTCGTGTGAATAATTTGTAGCTAAAAACACAAGTCAGGAGTCAAATGGTTCCAGTTTTTAGTTATTTTAAATCTTATTTGCTTCTAATCGTGATTCTTTAACTTTACCGATTTTTGAAAGATTAACAACGTGTTTCGAAGAAAATATCCACAACTTTATACGCGTGTAGTAGTTTCGTTCAAACAAGGACCAGTGATGGTTTCTCCAGACTTTTAAAGATTTGTTTGTTTGTCGTAAAGAACAATGTTACACAATGAGCTGTCTATGCTCTGCCCACCGTAGCTATCGAAACCCGAATTTTAGCGTTATAAGCTCTTACACTCACAGCTGAGTCACAGATTTTAAAGGATGTCAAATATCAAATATACGAGTTTTTCTCTTTCGTTTTTGATAAGTCACTAGGCAGAGGGTGGCCAAAGAATTGCCCTGGAAATTATAGGTCAGTTAGTCCTACTTTCGTAGTGGCAAAAATTACAGATAGTTTGATAAGAGAAAGTTAAAAAAAATCATTTACTTAAATATGATATCATAAATGAAAGCCAAAATGAAATAATAATAGGGAAATTTAGCATTACTGTTATATTTTATCGAGAGTGCTAATTGTCATCTGAACAGGATGCGGATTTGGTGTACTCAGATTTTCAAAAAGCTTTTGATATCATGGCACACAAAAGATTAATTAGCTAAGATAAGCACTTCAATAGGATTTGTGAAAAGTTAATTGGACTGTATGTTGATTGGATAGGTGAAAGCAAAAGGTTATTATTAGTGTAGTCTACTCGAACTAAATCCTTGTTACGGAGGATTGCCCCAGATATCAGTGGTTGGGCCTTTGCTTTCTAGTATTTGCATTAATGATATTGATAGGAATATAATTAGTAAACTAGTAAAGTCTGCAGATGACATTAAAGGTAAGGTGGTAAAATATCTGTTAAATTACCTTTAATTATAATAGGTGCAAATTTGGATTATCGTAATATGATATGGAAACCCAGTCCATAGCGTGAACGAAGAAAATGATCTCGCTACGGTGGAGAATAAGTTACTTAAGCCACCGAAGCAATGCCATGTTTCTGTTAATAAAGCTAAAATAATTATAAGGAGTATTTACAGACATGTTGATCAAAACACAGGATTGTCTCTATGGCTCTTACTACGTAAACATTCTGTTGAGTTTGTATATAAAATATATATCGTTGATCAAATCACCAAGACGATGTAGACGTTTGAAACAACAACGGTTTCTCAATACTGATTTCAGGTAATAGTTCTTGCTCATGTAGATCATGAATATTTATTGAAATGAAACAATACATGTTTTTACTTTTGAAGCAGTTTTCATAAAAAATAGCCATCTATCAAGGGGGATGGCTGTTGTGTAAATTATCATTATAACAATTTGTAGGTTACAAATCACCATTGTTTCTACCATGTTAAGGCTTTCTTGACAGGGTGTATATAAAACTATATTTCGAAGAAACATATACCTTTACAATAAAGCATCTTCCAGTTTTCAAGCAGTATTGATTTTTTTAAAAATATGAACTACAGATGGCGTAAGCTACGTATCGTAAGTATAAACATTGCCAGGTGGTTAGGGCGCTCGACTCGTAATCTGCGGGTCGCGGGTTTGAATCCCCGTCGCACCAAACATGCTCGCCCTTTCAGCTGTGGGTGCGTTATAATGTGGCGGTCAATCCCACTATTCGTTGGTAAAAGAGTAGCTCAAGAGTTGGCGGTGAGTGGTGATGACTAGCTGCCTTTCCTCTAGTCTTACACTGCTAAATTAAGGACTGCTAGCGCAGATAGCCCTCGTGTAGCTTGAGCGAAATTCTAAAACAAACAAACAAAATGTACTCAAACATTCAAAGGCTTTATCGACGACTGCACAAAGGATCTGTTCCGAGCATTAGAGTAAGTAAATATTTCGTTAAAATTGTGTGTTAGAGATATCACTTCGAAATATGGTATAATTGGAAGGTAGATGCATCAATACAGTATTGGCCAAAATGTTTGCATACTGTTCTATATTGATGTTATTGTATACATGCATGGAATAGTTATTAAGTCCCGAAGAGTAACAGAGAAGGTGGCGTATGGTCGGAAAACATGTACGAGATAATATTCTGGTCTATATAAGTTGTTTTGAGCACTTGTTCGTCAAAACACACACATTATTGTTTTGTATAATATTGATGTGCTTTTGGTACAACCTTTTCCTAAACAAATCAGCCCTTTGTTCAGACAGTTTCTCTGTACTTGGTAT